TACGTACCTGACACTAAACCTAAATGCCCTGGTACATACCTGACACTAAACCTAAATGCCCTGGTACGTACCTGACACTAAACCTAAATGCCCTGGTACATACCTGACACTAAACCTAAATGCCCTGGTACATACCTGACACTAAACCTAAATGCCCTGGTACATACCTGACACTAAACCTAAATGCCCTGGTACATACCTGACACTAAACCTAAATGCCCTGGACAGCAGGTAAAATAAGTACTGAACACGTCAGCATTTTTCTCAGTAAATATATTACTAGAGGTGCTAATGACATGAAATTTTCACCAGATGTTGGTAACAACCCAAGTGATCCATACATACAAAGAAATGAAACCATAAATGTCCAGAAATGAAGTTATTTGTACTAATGTGGAATGGCACAGGGAAAAAGTATTGAACACACTTAGTGGTTAAACCAGCTCTGKGTTTTCTAACAGCTTACAGTCTCTGAGACATGACTTAATGAGTGACAAACACTCATCATCAATCTGGCTCCAACTTTCTCTGGTAGCTGCTGCCAGATCAGTTTGCAGGTTGGAGTCTTGTCTTGGACCATTTTCTTCAACTTCCACCAAAGATCTTCAGTTGGGTTGAGATCTGGACTATTTGCAGACCATGACATTGACCTTCTGTGCCTTTTTTTTAAGGAATGTTTTCACAGTTTTTGCTCTATGGCACAATACCTTATCATCTTGAAAAATGATTTTTATCATCCCAAACATCCTTTCAATTGATGGGATAAGACAAGTGTCCAAAATATCAAGGTAAACGTGTGCATTTATTGAAGATGTAATGACAGCCCGGTGCCTTTCCCTGACATGCAGGCCCATATCATCAATGACTGTGGAAATGTGCATGTTCTGTTCAGGCAGTCATCTTTATAAATCTCAGAGGAACGGCACCAAACTGAAGTTCCAGCATCATCACCTTGTCCAATGCAGATTCTTGATTCATCACTGAAGATAACTTTCATCCACAGTCCATGATTACTTTTCCTCAGCCCACTSTAACCTTGTTTTTACTATTTAGGTGTTAATGTTGGCTTTTGTTTAGTTTTTCTGTGTGTAAATCCCATTTCCTTTAGGCAGTTTCTTACAGTTTGGTCACAGACGTTGACTCCAGTTTCCTCCCATTCCTTCCTCGTTTGTTTTGTTTTGAACAGAGCTGACCCAGTGTAAACTGGGCTAATAATATCTCTGTACAGAACATTTAAAAACAAATGTCACCAAACAGACTACATAAATTCATTAGGTGAAAATCTTCTCTTCATGTTTTTGTATCGGCAGGTCAGGAAGACAACTCAGTGAAGTTTTTGTTCAGCTTCCATCCAGGAAGGAACTGCCAGAATATTACGAGCTGATCAGGAAACCTGTGGACTTCAAGAAGATCAAGGTTTGTTGAACAAGATGAACTCAGAGCTGATGAAGATGGGAAAGTTTTCCAAATCCAACAACTAAACAACATTTCTGATATGATGTAGAACATGATCATTTCAGGAGTCTAAAATACAAAAACCATGTTTTATTTAGCACAAAAAGCTTCATCTGCTTTTAGAAACACTTGTTCCTAACAGCTTCAGTCATGTCTGACAGAAACGAGCAGGAAGCACCGTGGTGTAACCAGCTGACTCTCCATGTGTGTCAACAGGAACGTGTCAGGAACCATAAATACAGGAGTTTAGGAGACCTGGAGAAAGATGTCATGCTGCTCTGTCAGAACGCTCAGACCTTCAACCTGGAAGGATCCCAGGTAAACAGAGTCCTAAACCTCCTGTCCTGCACCTTTTCTTTCTACAGGTCAGTGGTCTGCAGGTCAGTGGTCTGCTGGTCAGTGGTCTACAGGTCAGTGCAGGTCAGTGGTCTGCAGGTCAGTGGTCTGTGGTCTACAGGTCAGTGATCTGCAGGTCAGTGGTCTGCAGGTCAGTGGTCTGCAGGTCAGTGGTCTACAGGTCAGTGGTCTGTGGTCTACAGGTCAGTGGTCTGCAGGTCAGTGGTCTACAGGTCACTGCAGGTCAGTGGTCTACAGGTCAGTGGTCTGTGGTCTACAGGTCAGTGGTCTACAGGTCAGTGGTCTGCAGGTCAGTGGTCTGTGGTCTACAGGTCAGTGGTCTGCAGGTCAGTGGTCTACAGGTCACTGCAGGTCAGTGGTCTACAGGTCAGTGGTCTACAGGTCACTGCAGGTCTGTGGTCTACAGGTCAGTGGTCTACAGGTCAGTGGTCTGCAGGTCAGTGGTCTGTGGTCTACAGGTCAGTGGTCTGCAGGTCAATGGTCTACAGGTCAGTGGTCTGTGGTCTACAGGTCAGTGGTCTGCAGGTCAGTGATCT